TTCGGCTTGATTTGGAGGACTCGTGTCGTGCGTGAGCAAGCCGAGTAGTGACGAAATATTCCTAAGATAGGTATAACAATGATCGGCATTGCAGATGAGTCGGCAATTCGAAAACCGATTAGTCGGTTAGTCGCCAAATACTATAGTCGGACCATCTCTACTTCTGACAAATTTGGATTAATTATTAAATAAAATTATTTTTGGATCTCGTTACACGATTCAACATATTTGTGATCGTGGAGCGAGGAAGGAAGAAAACCAAGCAAGCTAATGGTCGCCAACCCCTTTGATCAAACGGTTTGATCAAATTGGCATGAATATTAGCGATGTTTCGTTATCGTTATTTGAAATCACGAAACGAAAACGTTATTTGTTTATGAATAACGTTGTAATAACTATCTATTTTTGACAACTAACTATTTTCACAACGTTGTCGAAATTTATAAGTGTTACGTATTGATAAAACAATATTTAGAAATAAATCCACGCGGACCAGGCAGCAGACGGGACTCGAACCCGCACCCTTCGCAATCCGGACGAATGCACTGACCAATTATGCTGCCGCGGCCCTCACGGACCGAAATTATAACTACAATTGCTATTCCTTCTTTCAAATGTTTAATACTTGTAAAAGTATTTATTTGAAATTGTGAGTTATCTATAATGCGAAGAGATGGCGCTGCCATGCAGCTTAAGAATGGCTAGAGGAATTTCGACGCGGTCCGTGAGAGCCGCGGTAGCATAATTGGTCAGTGCATTCGCCCGGATTGCGAAGGGTGCGGGTTCGAGTCCCGTCTGCTGCCTGGTCCGCGTGGAATTTTTTCTAGTTATATTTTCTTTAGATTAAAACATCAAGCAGTTACATGCTTTAAAATAATAAAAATTATAACTAAAACAATATTTACTTCAAAACAACGTGTAGGTATTCACTATAAAGCTACTTATTTCATAGCTATTTGGAATGATTATAAATACCTTTGCTACCATATAAAAGCCTAACACATAACATATTAGAACATACTTTAATATTGGACGACCTTTTAAAATTGAAGATCGTTTCTAAAATCGTTTATTTTCACGACTGCGCCGAGAATTATACTGTAGTTTGTAAAGAGGTTGTACATTCGTAAAGAAGGCATAGCTAACTGTCCAATATCAACATTACGTAATACCTCGCTACACACGAGATTAACTTTAAATCAAGACAAATGGCTAACTCTGCTCAGGCAGTTAATGGAAAAAATATGGTTGTTTTCGTGCGTAGCTAGCTCGCTTATTCGCTATTAACGTAATTATATCGCTGGCTCACTCATTGCTGTTATTCCAGTAGAACAATAAATAAGGACACTCAAGATGTATGAACTACCTATTTAGGAATAGATTTTATCATTATTACGCAACATTATGGTGTTCCCGATGAATAGTACTATTGGAAGAGAACATGGTGTATAAACACGGTTCCCAACTTAGGGGTTTTGCCCCCAGATTTAGGGGCTACACGGGTTAAAACGTTTTTAGGGGGTTCTTTTAGGGGCTTTTAAAAAAACCTTCAATGAAATCGAAAAACAAAGCGTGTGTTTTCTTTCAGTTTTGTGCGTAGAATGGAACGCACCACGATATGAAACGACTGAACTCACTGTGTGGCAGGTTGTTTTCTAAGGCTGTATGGACTAAAGTCCTTTGCCTTCCACCAATCAAAACAGCTAAATAAGATTAAACAGCCTGTCAGCTCATTTTCGTTTAATTTTCCATTCCGAAAATGTATTTATTCAATAAAATAATTTACTGTAACTAAATATGTGACGTTTCAATTTATGAGCAACGAAAGAATTTAGGTAATAAGATAAGTAGGTACACATAAATTTCTACATTTAGGGGATTTTAGGGGAATTTTAAAAATACTTAGGGTAAAATTTTGGTAAGCGTTGGTAACACTGGTATAAAAAAACGCCAACAAAACACGGGTGTTTTACTCAAGGACAAGCAGTTAAATAACACAACAAACGGCCCACGGAACCGGTCGCGCCGCGTTCAACTCACGGCGTGCCCGACGACACGAGACGTGAACTTTCCGAAGCACGCGTTGACCTTCTTTTGAAAGTTTATGTTTTAGCCTTTAACTAGAGAACGTTGCGAAATATACTTTAAGGCCCACTTGCACGTTCTAAAGTTAATTTATTTACCTCCGAGTTAACTATTGAACTGGGGTTAAAATAATATTTTTTTCTTGCACTGCCAAGAGTTAACACTAAAGCTTAGATTAAATAATTAACCCGCCAAGGCTGGAGGGTTAAATTGCTAAGGCCCACTTGTTCAATAGTCAACTCGGAGGTAAATAAATTAACCCTAGAACGTGCAAGTGAGCCTATTTATTGATAACTATTTGACAGACAAATTACAGGACGCCATTCAACTTTAACGCCCATAAACACCACGTTTTTTCAAATTTGACATTACGATAGAGACATATTCAAGATACTGTTGTGTGAAAGGGAGAACAATACTTATGTCATTCATCATTCACTCTTTTTGTTGGGTTATTAAATCCTGGGTTATTTTCCGTTCGTGCAAGATAAAGTCTGAGTTAAAAAAATATTATATTAACTTTGAGTTAGTAAACTCGGAGTTATTTTGGTATCTCAAGATTTACGTGCAAGTGGGCCTAAGCCCGAAAGCACTGCAACTATAATCATTTATTGCTGGGGCAATTTCTAAAATACTATTTAATTAATATAGCCGCAACCAGTTACGAAAGTATAGTTGGTATCACGAGTTGCGAAGAACGAGTACCGCAATTTAAATAACTTCATTCTTTGCCTAACGCAATCTCGATGGTTCCCTTCGTTGCGTGATGTCCTTAACAGAAAACTTGAACATAGCCAACTGGAGCAATTTAGATATCTTGAGAAGCGAGTGAGCAAAAACAAGCACTAGAAACGAAAGCAGTGAAGACGTCCCACTCCGACTAGCAAATGCTGCATATAGTCCAAGATTTTTAGATGTCCGCTCTGCATAAAATCCTTTTACGTTATTTTTCGATTGGATTATGTCGGAGGGTGCCCCCCAAGTATAAAACCGAGTTTCTGTCGCCCGAAACTGCGAGCGTTAGCCGCCATCTTGGAAACCGTTTTTTTGCATATATCTCGGAAACGGTAAGTTTTACGTTAAAAACCGAAGAGATCTTTTTTGTAGAGAACAAAATTTCCCATCTTTTTTATACCAAACTTTTCCCCCTATTGTTGATATTTTCCGATATATTGAAGTAAAAAAACCAAATTTTTTGTTTTTGTAAAGTAACTCAATAATTTTTGGAGATACGAAAAAAATGTTTCTGATATAATCCAATCAAAAAATCACGTAGAAGGATTTTATGCAGAGCGGACCGATTTTTGGTGCTAAAATTGCTGGACTAATATACGAGGACACGATGGAAATCATAATAATGTTATTTGAGAGTTCTACAATTAACCTTCTGACATCAAAAACCCTTAAACTGACATGCAAGTTGAATAGTTGCACTCAGTTCATCAACATCGCATAATTAACACTAATAAAAAAAGATACATTTATCGGTCCAGTGTTGCCAGGTCCAATTTTTAAAAATCGGGAGGAGTTATAGAAAAAAACAGTAGATGTATGGAAGGAGCTACAAGAAAAACAGTAGATGCTGAGGCGTATTTTTTGTCCCCCCCCCCCCCTAGAATTGGTAAATCAAATGAAGATAAACTTAAGACCAGTAACGACAACGACTATGTTTCTGTGGCTTCTGCCGCCCCATAAAGCTAGTTTTTTATACAATAACATTTATTTTAAAATAAATAAGGTTACGTATATTATTAATGGCCGAAAATGCAACTCCACATGCAATTTAAAAAAGAAAATCGTATTTTAAGAAAAACAGGAGATTCATGTTGAAAAACAGTAGAACAGGAGAACTTTCAGAAAAACAGGAGATCTCCTGTAAAATCTGGAGACCTGGCAACACTGTATCGGTCCCATAACCACGTTGAATATAACTGGGTCGCACCATGAACAGTTGACGCGGCACAATTCCAACTGCCAAAGAGGGGCATCGCTATAATAGCAGTGTAGTCTTCAACATTTGCTTTTGGATCGCGTTAAAGAGTTATAATTATGGCTACACTTTGCGAGGTTGCTGTTACAACATGCACCATTCTCTTTACTCTATGTATACCATCGACAAAAATAAGAAGAAATCAATGTCATACATTGTTAACAACGGATCAAAATTAATAGAAAAAAAAACTTTAGGCAAATATAGCCCATAGACCGAGAGACAATAGACAAGGATTCGGAATAATAGACTCTGATAGATATCATATAAGAAAAATCACGAAAGTAGCCATGTACTTCAAATTATAATTGAAACTGTAACTCTTAAGTCCATTTCCATTAGAACACTTTGAAATGTAGAGATTCTCAAGGGATGCTTATTCATAGAGCGCTAATAATAGACAACTAAGTACCTGCTGACTGCATCATCCCACTAATCGTATTAAAACTTAGGTATATCAAGATGGGTATAATTATGTTAATTGTTCTTTTATCCTAGTGGTAGACCCATGAATTTTACCGTTATCATTAGCACAACCCGCGTATCTGCCTAGTTCAACTTTTGATAGTTTTCTAAAACTACAACCGTCTAATTTTATCTTTGTCATAATAATCTTTGACCTCGCTACTGTAATTGCTCCTTAATGTTTTTCTCGTGACACATATGGTTAAAATTAATACCATCATCGTACTTTACGAAAAATTTACAGCTAAAACCAGTTAGTGACGATTCAAGAGGTTTCGTGCAAAAGGGACTATGAAATTAATAACCTTAGTATTAATAATGTTGCTTAATTGGTTCTCTTGTCATCTTTTCGCCGTGTCCCGGGTGGTATAAGTGGAGACTAACCTAACCTAACCTAACCTAAAAACCCGAGGTTATTCTTCATTAATTACTGAGAGGACATGAACAGCCGTATAGTTACCTCCAGCTCCTCCTCGGATGAGTGGTGGTCGTACAGGTGGTCGGGCTCTGGTTCTGGCAGGAGCCGCGGCGGCGCCGGGGCGCACGCGCATGCTTCTCCGCCCATGCCTGTAACAATGCAATTGTTACAAAATCGACACAATGATTTTCTCTATAAAAAAAATGGATGCGTGTAACTTATGTACGCGCGTGAGAAGTTATACTTCTTTAGCATCATTAAAAATATTTTTTAATTGCATGCAAATAATTAATAATTACAATAAAATAATAAAAGGACTGGAAAAGGATAGTTAAAACAGTCAATTAAGTTCAGTTTTAATTTGAAAAATTAAATAAATATTCAAAATATTCAATTAAAATCACTATTGAATTTAAGTTATTAGTCCATATGTAATTAGCACTTGTAAGTAACTAAAACACGTTGTGTCTATATAGAAACTAGAAACATGTGGATAAATATTATAAATGTGAAAACAGTGATCAGAGGCGACGAGCGTGCCAACATTGTTTTTGACAACGCGATCATCTTATGGAGCTCCGTGGATCGTTCAAAGTACCTTTCGAACAGATGTCTAATAATGGTGGATTATTAACCACTAAGTGGTTAATAATCCACCATTATTAGACACTAACATTCATAACGCGCCCGCGGCCAACTTCATGGTGTTACTATTGTGTTACAGTGATGCGCGCGCATCTCGAAATTTCACTCACATGATTTTTTCATAACGCGCCCGCGGCCAACTTCATGCTGTTACTTTTGGGTTACAGTGATGCGCGCGCATCTAAAAATTTCACTCTCATCATTTTTTCATAACGCGCCTAAAGAAGTATAACTTCAAAAACGATTTGGCCTATTCATCAGGCGTTAATGGAGAAGTATACGCAAAGCTCGACATAGATGGCGCTGCAAACGCTTGACACAAACCACAGCCAAATATTGCCACTGTCAAATTTTAAACGTGTTTTTTTTTGTTAAAAATATTAAATAAGTGGTGAAAATGTATTTAACATGGTCTGTAATACAGCTGAAAACAGAGTTGAAAAGGAGAGGAGCATCTGTGCAAGGCAGAAAAGCTGATCTAGTAGAAAGGTACTCTTCCTATGAAGAATGCTCATTCTCGGTACAAAGATGCATTTTCCATGATTATTTTACTGGTTCATGGAGCTGAGTAACTTTTAGCGGGCTCATTAGTCAAATCTATCTTATTTTTACATCAGTCAGACATCCCATAGAGTGAGGTTAACTCTGGCTAAAATGGGAGGTATAACATTGGGTTTTTTACAGACTTGAGGCATATGACCGCAATTTTAATTTTGGTGCAGTTTTTTCTGATCAAAATGAAGACATCCAGATGCAATTACCTGCCCCAGATACATACATAATGATGTAAACAGCAGCTCATTTTTATCCCCCCACCCATTTCAAATCAATATATATAATTATATTTTAGTCGGTAAGCATGCAGTTTTCTCACAACAACCAGGAACTGCACAACTCGGCATTTGTATGTTGTTTAATAAAAAGCTTAAAAATGAATTTAAGCTAATAGGTATGTATTTGATCGAAGTTTTGGGTCAAGCGATTACAGCGCCCCTAGTGGCCAAATTTTGCAGAATTCTTATCCATTGAAATAGCGTTTTCGATAATTTTCTAAAATCAATTTGTGTCATCAGGCGGGAGTCCTTAGCTATCTTGGTGAATTCTTACTTTATATATTACTACTTGATCTTCTTAAAAAAAAACGTGTAGGTACTACATTTTTATGTAGGCGACGATTGTCGAGATTTCATACGATCTATAGAGAACTGACTTTACATTTCATCTCGCAAGAAAAAACTAACTCGTTTTTAGCCTATTCTTAAAATATTTTGTATTACATAAAACTAGTTTTTACGGGTTAATGCACGAAACTTTATTTATTTATGGCGTTGAGATTAAAAAATATCCAAATTTCAATAGGGAAGATGGTTGGTATATACCACCAGCTTGGGAACCTATTATACAGGAGATAAAATCCCAACCCCGAGCACACACTGCAAGACCATCAGATACTATTAGTTCTTTTTGTTTGCATAATTGAACATAAGAAGGAGATAGAAAGCCTCTCTTGAGTTTGTTTCGCCGGTTCTTCTCAGAAAGGTCTCCTAATTTTGGAACCGGTGGTAGTTTACGGTAATTAGGGTCAAATAAATAAACTCAAAATTACAAAAAAGAATTTAAATAAAATACTTTATTAAGTAAATTTAATAATAAATTCATACATAGACAATAAAACTTTAAAAATCGAACAATGAATAACCGAACGCTCAATAAAAGTCTTTCGAAGGTAGCTCGACAAATTAAATAAAAGTTTAATTCTGACGGCTACGAAACGTTATAAATAAATAAAGTTTCGTGCATTAACCCGTAAAAACTAGTTTTATTTAATGAGTGATGTGCGTGAAAACCTAAGAAACAAATATATTTTGTATGACGTTATTGTTTACATTGACTATAACAGAAATGTTATAAGTATAACCAGATACCTACTTAGTGCACTAATTTTTTTCTACTTGTACAAATGTGATATCGGAGATACAAAATGAAAGCTCTTATTAAGTAAATTTTAAAGTTAAAATAAAGCAATGTAAGAGAACTGCATCGGCGCGGCGGTAAGAGGGAGATAGCTTATCGAGGGGAAAGAGGACAACAAAAGGGAAGGGGGTGCTCTTGAACTTGCAGAGGCAGCAACCCGCCGGATAAAGTCGGATTCTATACACTGTAGGATGCAGGAACGCTATCAAGCTCTTTTTAAATTAACGGTTTGATTGCAAATCAAGCTAAGAATGATTATTCCCATTCCTTCCTTATTTAGAATTTTAAACAAATAAAAAACTTGCCTTAGAATATGTCAATAATATATTCTATAAATCTAAAGATAAAAATATTAGACTAGTGGGTATAGTAGAGACTATTTCAATAGATCGAGCCCGTTAGGTTTCACGACATGGCGCAACATTTCAAACAATTTCCTGAATTGCAAATAAAGTCCCTAAAATTGCAGTGAAAAGAGAGTTTTCTAAAAGATTCAGTGAATTCCACCGCAGTTTAAACGAGTGCACCGCAGCGGGCGAGCGTTTAAAAATAACGATAAAAATCGTTACTAAGGGATTATTTCCACCGCTCTCAAATTAAAATAGACGTAACCCGACAACTTCTTTATTTTCCACTAGTTTATTCAAGCGAGTGTCCCATTTCCTATGCAAATGTATTAAATAAATAATCCCAACTGGTTGGTTTTGAATGTACAATGTGCCCGGTAAAGTTACTCTTTTTTAAAACTACTATAAATGGATCTAAATACTGCATATCAATCTTCATTTATAATAGGGTTAATTATTAGATTGTTAAATGTTAATTATAACATTTATCAAATTTTAAGTTGATCATAGTACAGTTTTTAAATTTTGATATCACTTTTAAATCAACGAAATGTAGAGAGAATAGCAGTCCTTGCTGAAATTGAACCGACTTAGACGATATCAACATATTTTGACGAGTTATTGCCCCATATTCTATAGGAACGGGATATTGCGTAGAGCAGTGTTTTCTAACCTTTCCAATACTGCTACCCCTGTAACCTATTAGGAAAACAGATTTTACCCCGACTTTGAAATGTTATCATCAGTCCAAGAAATTCCAATTTGGCCTCTTAGAGACGAAGATCTCTAATAATGTCATCATCAGGAAAAAATCTCGCCCCGCTTCCCACACTCAGCACCCCGCGGGCTCGCTAGCAAGAAGGAGCGCATGCTTTATTTAGTAGTATTATTATATAGGTAGGTATAGTATTTTCTTATTATTTAGATTTGACCAAATAATTACGTTCTTTGTTACCCCCGAAGTATGGCTGATTTACCCCGAAGTATGGATAATTACCCCCAGGTTCGGACCCAGGGCGTAGAGCATCTTTCTCATTCTCTTAGTGTCTCGATGCACTGACATTGATTTTGAGTTGGAGATCCTTTGCTTATATTAAATGACTATATAGCTAACCATGATCTCCGAGTATTCTCGCAGCACACCCAAACAAGTTTTGACAGGTTTCGATCATTAGTTCACTCACGTTTGGTCATTGTTATTCTTGGCCGCCACTTTGTTAGCTTCCCTTTGCATGTGGTTCTGCCTAGTTTGTCGGGCATAATTTTCTTAACTTAACAGCGAGGGTTAAAGACCACTCGGCTGTAAACGGGATTCCATTGTACAGATACCTACAGACATCGTGTATGAGATCCGCTCGTCGTGCGTTCATAGCTTTAAACATAAAGTGCCGACAACAGATACAAGCGTTCGGTTCCGCTAGTGAATAATTGAAAGGCCCCGCAAGCTCGAAGATGCCATGCCATCTTATCTCGACAATCCATCTCCTGTGTACCATATCTCTGGGACGTTAGACTGGGATTCGCGCGGCAATATGTTAACACGACTCGCTATCGTGTTGGACGAAGATCAAGATTCAATGCGCCGTTGACGCGGGGATCACGAAACGTCAAGCTAGTTTAGTGAGTACGCGATCGACGAACTGAGGAATTGGTAATTTCAAACTTGTAAATATTCCATTAAATATGATCCCTCTTTATTGTGTGTTGTTATTATGTTTTAATCTAAAAAGACGGAAAGGATATATTCGTCTATGTTTTTTATACTTCTATTTTCAACCGACTTCGAAAACGAGGAGGTTTTGAAATCGTCTGTATGATTTATTTTTTATGTTTGTTACGGCATTTCTCCGTCAAAATGTGCCGAATTTCAAAAACCTTTTGTAATTGCAAAGGATTTTCAAAACTCTTTTCTTGTGTCAAAGAATTTGATTAATTGCTTCGGAGATGTGGACCGGAACTCTTCGTAGGATCACACCAATATATTATTGTAATAAGTGTTGCGGCCTTGCCCAATCAACCAAGATATTGCTATGGCTTTCCAGCAGGCGTTAACATTTTAGACGGCGGTAGTCGTAATATGAAAACTGACAGTCATTCACTTTTTCTCTGCTTTAATATTGTCACGTACAAGCTGTGTAATTTTAAACTATAATTAAAGTAATTTCCAAGATTTTGGAGTTTTCTTCACTCAAGACGAAATCTACC